CCTCCCTTCCTTCCCTCCCTCCCTTCCTCCCCTCAGTATGCTTAGTAGTGGTATTGGTATTAGTATTGCTAGTATTAGTAGTAGTATTATGAGTGTTAGTATTACTGGTGCTAGTATTATTATTATTAGTATTAGCATTATCAATATTAGTATTATTAGTAGTAGTATTAGTATTAGTATTATTAGTTTTATTCTTCTTATTCGTAGTATTAGTATTATTCTTATTATTATAAGTATTATTCTTATTAGCATTAGTAATATTATTATGATTAACAACATCATCAGCATTAGCATTATTATTAGTAGTATTATTATTATAATTATTATTAGTATTATTATTAATATTATTAGTATTATTACTATTATTAGTATTAGTAGTAGTCGTATTATTAGTAGTAGTCGTAGTAGTAGTAGTGTCATGTTTGTTAGTACTAGTATTATTCATAGTACTATTGGTATTACTGTTAGTATTGGCATTCGTGTGTGCATTAGTGGTATTATTAATATTAGTAGTAGTATCATTAGTATTATGAATAATAATAATAATGTGTTTTAGTATTGGTATTCTTACTAAGATTAGCAGTACCATTATTATGAATATGAGTAGTATTCGTATTACTAGTATTAGTATCAGTAGTAGGATTCGTATTATTAGTATAATTGTTAGTATCAGTATTACTCATGTTATGATTAGTATGATTATTAGTCTTCTGGTCCGTATGATTAGTATTATTATTATTATTAGTAGTAGTAGTAGTCATGGTATTATTCGTAATCTTAGCAGTATCAGTACTATTATTATGAATGGATTTAGTATTAGTGTTAGTATTATTCGTAGTAGTATACGTATTGTTAGTATTATTTTTAGTATTCATAGTATGATTACTAGCTAGTAGTAGTAGTAGTAGTAGTAGTAGTAGTAGTAGTAGTAGTAGTAGTAGTGGTAGTAGTAGTAGTAGTAGTAGTAGTAGTAGTAGTGGTAGTGGTAGTAGTAGTAGTAGTAGTAGTATTAGTAGTAGTAGTAGTAGTAGTGGTAGTAGTAGTAGTAGTAGTAGTAGTAGTCGTCGTAGTAGTAGTCGTAGTAATATTAGCATTTTCATTATTATTAGTTTCTTCTTAATATTAGGTCTTATTCTTCATATCAGTAGTATTAGTATTATTATTTGTCCTCCTCCTCCTGGAGCCCCTGCTGACGTGAGGGCAGCCTTGAGGTCAGAGAACAATGCGCATGTGAGCGTTTTCTTATTCGGCGTTTCGACATCGAGCGGAAGGAGGGCTGGAGGGGGGAGTCTGGCTCCAGACCTCTGCTTAATGCGGCTGTTTGGGAACCGTGCGTCCTCTGGGGGAGGCTTCCCCTGCTCGAAACAGACGCCCAAAACAGCCAAGATCTACTCCATGGAAGGGGGGGGAGAGGAGGGGTGCAAAGGCCCGCGCCCACGGGCAGAACAATTAATAAAAAAACGATCACCATGATGTGTGACGACTAGCTGTTCGTCGACTCGTGCCGACGGCCGACTGACTCGATCCCTTCACTGCCGCACACTCGTTGTGCCCCGGTCCGAGCGCATGGACTGCCACGAGGGTATGCCTGAGCTCTGCCGGACAGCCTGCAGGTAAGCTTAGGTCGGGCATGTCCCCCTACAGACGGATTTTCAAGAAAAAATAATAGAAAAATCGTCCCCTGATTATTTGTTGCTTATTTTTGACTATTCCTCCTGTAGAAGGACGTGCCCGACTGACAAGGTAAGCCGACGGCACGCAAGTCTAGACGCAGTGCGCTATGCTGCAGTCAGCTCCCCGTCGTCGGCCTCATCTTCATCCCCTGTCCTGTTCCAAACCTTCTCTTGTCAGAGCGCTGGCCTGCGCACTGGAAACCTGGAGAGCCCAGGCATCAGCATCATCTTCGTTGCCAGTCACGTCCCTCCACAGGTCACTCAAGATGTCATCGACCCTCTCCAGCCACTCCTCTAAAGGGCAGAAAATCCACCCCGATAATAACTACCCCGACACGCGAAGCCGTTTAGTAAACGCACCCAAAGAGGGAATCAAGCAGGGCAGGGCTGTTTAGTAAACGCCCGAAGCCGTTTAGTAAACGCCAATTGTCCGGTCCGGGTGGTTATTCCTCCCTTGATCCTCACGAGCACAGAGAGAGGGGTGGAGGACAGAATGCATGCGGACTGCGCGAGGAGCGGGGGGGAACAGGGGAGGCAAGCAAGCAAGGCGTGACGAAGGATCACGGGCTGCACTGACGTCAAAATGCAGGTGGGGGCAATACAGTAGGGGCTCGACCACAAGAAACCCTCCACGAGAAACCCCAACCCTGAGACCCCAGGACGTCCATTAATTTTGGGGGCGGGAACGTCACGCTTTCCATAGCAAACCCATCGAAACCCAAGAAACCCAGGGCACCCTGAAGGCAAGCAGGGTGTTTCTTGGCATGGGTCGCCACTGTAGCTCGCGCATCCAAAACGCATCTCCTTCGATCCTTACTTTAGCGCTACAGCAGGTCATTATTTGAGCGAGCACTCCTGGGTGTACTGCTAACGAGGCCCCCCCCCAGTGCGTGAGAGGACTGGTGTGGATCCCCGTGGGAGTGTCTCATCAAGATGTCTCCGAGGCAACTGATGAGTTGTTGCTTCACATAGAAAAGTGAAATGAGGACTTCGGCACCGATGCACTGGGAGGCAATCTCAAAATGACGGAGCGCATTTGCAGAGAGCTCCCTGGCCGGGAAACAACAGCACGTCATCTCACAACAAACTTCCAAAGAAACGGAGAACGCCTCCCGCATGGAGGTCGACCTTCTATTCTTGAAGAGAGAAGTTCCAGAATTCGCCGGCCCAACGGGCCAGAGGCGTGCTAAGATCTCCGGTGACTGCTTAACAATCTTTCTACTTCGCGCGCGCGGGGCGGCCCCTGGGGGCCCCCGGGCGGAAAGTACCCCGGCAAGGTCCCGAGAGAGTCCCGGGAGGAGTCACCAGGGCGCTCCAGCAGCGCACCAACGCGGCTCCGAGACGTCCCCGAGAGCCCCAAGAAGGGCCAAGAGGCTTCCAAGAGGCCCCCAAGATGCTACATGAGGGGTCCGAGATGCCACAAGATCGCTCCAAGACGCCCACGATGGCCCCCAGACGCCCCAAGAGGCCTCCAAGAGCACTCCCGAGAGGGCCCCAAGAGGCAAAATTCACTGCTTTTCCTTAGGTTTTGGAGAGATTTTGGCGTTTCCACCTTTTCGGCTTCACGACACCCCAAGACGGCCCAAGAGGCCCCCAAGACCGCCCCAAGAGGGCCCAAGAGGCCCCCAAGAGGGCCCCAAGACGGCCCAAGAGGGCTCCAAGACGGCCCAAGAGGCCTCCAAGACGGCCCAAGAGGGCCCCAAGAACGCCCCAAGAGGGACCCCAGGGGGGGAACACGAAACAATATTTCGAGCCCTCGGCCCTCAGAAGTCCCCAGGAGGCCCCAAGAGGCCCCTAAGAGGCCCCAAGAGGCCCCCAACAGGCCCCCAGGAGGCCCCCAAGAGGCCCCCAAGCGGCCCCAGGAGGCCACCCAAATGCCCCCCCGAGCACGCAAGCAAGTGCCAGCGACGCTACACTATGGGCCGGCGGAATGAGCGAAGCGAGTCAATAAACACTTCCACAATGCAGGTCGAACCTTCGCTTTGAAGCTGTTTGATCCTCTAGGCTTGCTCCCCCCGGAGCGGGCACACTGACACCACAGCCTTGCCTCCAGGGCCTAGGCGTCTCGGGGGCGAGGGCTACAGTAGAACACGCATTTTCAGGATACGTAATCATCCTGCGGCCTTACCAAGATTACCTAATAACACTGGCCATGTTTTTGTGTTGCGCGATTCTGAGAGAAGAAAGAAGAAAGCTGAGGGGAATTACAGCGCGAAGAGGACTCGAAGTGACTCCCAAGCTCTGTGAACACAATGAGTCGATTTTGAAATGAAGCTCCGCCCCAGAGTCAATCCACTCGGGCTCAAAAGAATCAGACGACGAAGGGAGAGGCCATGCCCTTTGACTATCGTTGTGAGGGTGGCGGGGAGGGTGGTTCTGGCGGTGGTGGTGATCGCGGTCATTTTCGTCACCGTCGCGGCGGCGCTTGTAAAGGTGAACGTTTTTTTGATTCGGCGTTTCGAAATTGGGCGGAGGGGGTGGGGAGGGGGGGGTCTGGCTCCTGACCTCTGCTCAACGCGACTGTTTGCAAGAGGGCGTCCATCATGGGGGACCCGCTCGAAACGGGCGCCAAAAACAGCCAAGATCCATTCCAGGGGGGAGGGGGAGGAGGGGGGGTGCAGGGGCCCGCGCCGATCGGCAAAACAAGGAACCAAGAAACGGGCACAGACCAACAAGACCAAAAACATAAACTTTCGGAGATACGCGCGAATTTCTGGGATCGGCGCTGCACCCCCCTCTCCGTGGCGCGCGGAGCGCGCCAGGGGCGGCGCCAGAGGCGCCGCCAGGGGGCTCCAGCGCCGATCCGAGAAATCCGCGCTGACCGCGGCCAGTCTGTGTGTTATGCAACTTGTTTGAAGGGGCCCTGGGACACACCAAGAAATAGACACGAGTCCCAGGATCCCCCTTTTATCATCGTATGTATATGTATGTGTATATGTATATATATATATATAATGGATATTCGTCTTCCCCCCTACTTCCCATATTTCCCCATATATTCCTGGGCATCGACGCCGAGTTGTGTCTGCGTGTTTCTCCCCTCCTGCAACGTGTTGTTCCCCGGTGGCCAGGGGAGGCGGCGGACATGTACAGGCCTCGTCGACGCGAGCCCCCCGCCCGCCTGACTGCCTGCCAAACCACCCCAGCCAAACCCAGAGTCACCGTTGGGCTCGTCAATTTCCGGTGTGTGTGTGGGGGGGGGGGGGGCACTCCAGAACACTGAGGAAGCACGATGGAACCCGTACAGCCCCCACCCGAAATCCTGGGGTGGTCTAAGGCCTTCCTTCGGGTTGGGTGGGGGTGGCTTGGCATCGACGGCGCGCACAAGGGGATAGGGGGAGAGGGAAAGGCTTCTTAGAAGGCGGCTGCTTCTTAGAAGGCGCTGGCCCTACATCTATAGATAAGGCCCGCGCCTTCTCAGAAGCAAGGGAGCTTCCAAAAAGCCTTCCCCCCTCCCGCTCCCCCCTCTGCGCGTGGCTGAGCCTCAGAAGAAGCGCGCAGGGCAGCACTGGCGGCGTGGCGGCGGCGAGCGCGGCGGTGCTGGCTGGGACGCAGAAGGACATACTAGCACTACGTGTCCTCCTTGGAGGCGTACTCCCGACCAGACCATGCAGTACAGCCTATCTTGCAGCAGACCCCTGCCCCGTCGGTATGGCCAGACAGCCTCCGCCACCGAGCAAATACTATAAGATGTCTGCGCGCGCGTCCCCCCTCTGGGGGCGCCGCACATGTCGTTGCGCCGCTTGTTCCCGACGCGCCCAAGTGGACGACGCCGACACCACGGCAAGCCCACGGCAAGCCCTGCGCCCCGCGCCCCAGCAGACGCAGCCGGCACCGCGGCAAACACACCGCGCCCGAGGCGGCGATTGCCCTGGTGTCCACGGCGCCCTCCCCAAGACGGAAGGCCGCGCGTCGGAACAAACGGGGCGCCGCACATACTTTTTGTTCGTCGGCGGCGAGGCAGAGGCAGCCCGCACCAGCAGAGGACTAATCGGGGCAACCGAAAGGCGAGTTGTCCAGCGTGCCCGAGGAAGGAGAGAAGACGAGGGTGGCCGCGCGAGGGGAGGAGGGGGGAGCACGGCCGAAGTGTCGGTCTGAGCGGGGCCGACCGGAGACGGCGGGCGCAGGCGCCGCGGCCGAAAGGCAGGGCTCGGCGGCGGCGAGGCGGCGAGGCGGCGGCCACGGAAGAGCGCCGAAGAGCGGGCGCGGCGATGTACAGTCGGGCTTCTGAGCTGAGGAACGGCAAGCAAGGAACGGCCCCCCCCTTCCTCCACCGCCCGCCCCATGTCCCGAGCCTGTGGCAGGGTCATCGCGCTCGCCTTCCTCCACCGCCCGCCCCATGTCCCGAGCCTGTGGCAGGGTCATCCGCTCGTCGTTGTCGTTGTCGTCGTGATGGTGGTGGTCGTCGTCGTCGGTCGTCCTTCTAGGTCGGCGGCACCGGCCGTAAGGCCTTAACAACATGAGGAACGAAACCCCCTTTTGGCCCCGCAAGCGCCTGCGTGCACGAGGAGGGCTCGAGGAACAGCCGTGGAAGGACCGAACATCGAGCCTCTTCCGAACCCAAAGTGTTCCTTATTCGGTGGCAACCCATGGGAGCCTCCCATAACATCTTGTCGGATCTTGCGAATCGACACTCGTCGGCGCTAAATCGACGCTACTCGACGCTAAATCGACGCTAATCGACGCTAACCGACGCTAGATCGGCGCTCGCTGACCGAATCCTTATCGCGGCGTCTTGGCCGCACGGCAGCAGGAAGCCCGAAAACGCACGTCGCTGGACTCACACCGCTGGACGTATGCTCGTGGACCCCGTGACAATGGACACACTAACAATCCGATCATTGAACTTAAAATGTGTTTATATAAAATGTGTGAAAATGTTCTACAAATGTTTAAGGCATGTGCTTCACATGTTTTTATATATATATATATATATATATATATATATATATATATATAATATGTTTAAAACATGTTTGGGACAGCTGGAAAGTGTTTGGCGACACGCTTCCTCTCCATTGATCGTCCTCCACAGACGTATGCGGAGGCAATCCGCTGGATTCGGCCATCTTCTGACCCGGGTCAATCCAGACCCGGGTCAGCAGGAAACTAAAAACTGCCATGCAAGAAACAAAAACTGCAACGCAGGTCTTCGCACACCCGGGTCAGCCAGTAGGCGCGGCCGCCTCGCGGCCACGAGCGGCCCGCTGACCCGGGTCAGACAGACGGGGTCTTCGCAGGATCCTGCAGGATCCGGCGCTCTGGCGGACCCCCGTCTGCATTGACCCCCGTCTCAAGGCTCCCGCTGGATGCCCTCGCGGCGGCCCGGCCAGCGCGGCCAAGGAAGGCCCGAGCGCTGGCAAGCCACGCGGCCACGCGAGACCACGTGACCAGCTCTCGCCCAGGCTGGCCGCAACATGCGCTCCAGAAAGGGCCCCGCCTGCGAGGATCGAAGGAGCTGCCACCTCCTCCTCCTCCTCCTCCTCCTCCTCCTCCTCCTCCTCCTCCTCCTCCTCCGCCTCCTCCTCCTCCTACTCCTCCTCCTGCTACTCCTCCTCCTCCTCCTCCTCCGCCTCCTCCTCCTCCTGCTCCTCCTCCTGCTCCTCCTCCTCCTCCTCCTCCTCCTCCTGCTCCTCCTCCTCCTCCTCCTCCACCACCTCTCCTCGGCGGAAGGCGGCGGGAGGCCGGCGGGAGGCGGCGGAAGCAAAACGGTGGCGGCTGCGCCAGCAGAAGGCCAGCGGAAACCAACAAAAACTCGTTTCCGATAGATGGCAACATGGTTGGGCTCAGGATGTCCGGAACGTGTCCAGCCTGCTGGTAGAGGGGCAAAAGAGTTCAGGAGGGCACAGACACAATGAATCGTCGACTCCCAGGATCATCTGGGAAAATACGGAAGTGGCGGGAAGACGAAAACCGAGGAAAGATGGGAAAATATTGGGAGTCCTGAAATTCATGTCTATTTTTGCGTGTTTCCATGGGCCCCTTTAAAGTGAATGCAGGCGTGGGATTGGGCACGAGGGGGGGACAAGGCAGGAGCCGCCAGAGCAGCAGGCGCAGCAGGAGCAGTCCAACCAACCCTCTGGGCTGCAGAGGGGCCAGGGTTGCTTCTCGAAGCTCCTCTCTGCAATCACTGAACCCGTGGGGAAGGGAGCTACTCCTCCCCATACAACACCCCCAAATTTCCTAACTTCGGCGGGCCACTGGGCTTCTTCAGGGCAACAGCGTTTCCCTCTGAGACTGGAGGCGCCGCTGTGAGGAACAACAGAGTTGAACTTATGTTGTTGGCTTTGTTTGTGGCCTCTAAGAGGGAATACATTGGACCAGCTGTCCCTTCCACTACCCCGCCCGTTTTCCAAATGAACCCGGCGCGAAGCCAAGTAGGACTCTTCTTCCACAGCACTTAAAAGCAGTTCTGAACAGCGCAAAGCAACGCAATGCCAAACACGAGTTGGCATTGGTTGGCACTGTTTGGCGTTACTTGGCATTGCTGCGTAACGCTTGGGATAATTGCTTGGCATCCTAGTTTGGCATTGCTTGGCGTTGCTTGGCAATGCTTGGCGTGTCTTGGCATTGCTTGGCATCATTTGGATTCGTTGCTTGGCGTTTCTTGGCGCTGCTTGGCATTGCTCGACATTGCTTGGCATTGCGTGGTATTTCTCTGCATTGCTTGGCGTTTCTTGGCGTTGCCTGGCACTGCCTGGCCCTGGACAACCCCGAGCAAAGCCGGGGACCGCCTGGGCAACCCTGGGTAACCCCAGGCAGCCCCGGGTGAACGTGGGCCCGAAGGGCTCCGAACCCACTGGCTTCCAGACGCCCCCAAGAGACCCCCCCGAGACCGTGGTGGCCAATGCCCGGCAGAAGTGCGGCGCAGGCCTGCATCCCTCAACCACTCGGCGAGGATCTTCAGATCCCGCGACGCCGCTCGAGTCGGTGAAACTGCCTGCAGCCGGTCCCGCTCGCGGCGGACACACCCGAGAGACAGTGAGAGGCGCCCAAGAGGCGCCCAAGGGGGTCCAAGAAGTCCTCCGGCCGGCCCAGGACACATCCGAGAGAGCAATCCCACCCGAAGGGCCTGCGAGAGCACCGCTCGACGGAGAGGGAGGCCCCATCAGACGTCAGGGGCCATCCCTGAAGCCTCCAAGAGGCTCCCACGATGCGACCCCGATGCCCCCCAGAGGTCCCACGGAGGAGCCCACATCCCCAAGAGACGCCCAAGACTGCATGCGAGGTCAGTAGGAATATCTGTTTCGTCCACAAGCTCACACAATTGTTCCCAATACACCCCCAAGACAGCCTGAGGCCCCCACGGCACCCCTCAAAGGACCTCAAGGCAGCTCAAAAGGTTCCCAAGAGACCCCCACGAGACCCCATGAGGCGCCCAAGAGGAGCCCAAGGAGGTTCAACACGCCATTTCGAAAGCCCAGGAAGTTTCCGAGATGCCCCCCAGGACCACCTGAAGAGCCTCCGAGAGCACCACACGACGGCAAAGGAGGCCCTTAAGGCGTCCGGGGCAATCCCAGAAACCACAAAGAGGCCCTCAAGGTGCGACCCCGATGCCCCCCAGAAGCCCCACAAAGGAGTCCGCATCCCCAAGAGGCGCCCAAGACTGCATGAGAGGTCTCTAAACAGACGGCCGATGAGGGCACCAAAAGGCTCCCATACCGCGACAGACGAGACCAGAAAAACAGGCCAGACCAGACAAGACACCCCACGAATAGAACAAGCCGAGGCGAGAGAGGCCATGCAGGGCCAAATCGGAACAGAGTATAGCCCACTCAGGCTCCCGAAGGTCTGTCCTCGCAGAGTGCGCGCACATGGGAAGCAGAACTCGGGGAGGCAACGGTGAGGAGCAGGCACGGGAAAGGGAGGCGGCGGAAGAAGACGGGCGAGGAGGCAAGTCAACAGGAGGAGGATGAAGCTTCGCTGGCGAGGACGCGAAGCCGATGAAGCGCAAGATAGCGGGGACGGTAAATACCCTAGGTTGCTGACTTTGCACAGACACACACACAGGTATCCGAAATCCAGTGGGATCAGATCTCGCTTGAAGCGAGACAGAAAGTCCCGAATCGGCACGGATGGCACTACTCCCGCCAACATTTCTCCAGACCGCATGCGAACAGGCTGCACCAGGCAAGCCACCGCAGGCGAGACCGGCACGCAGAGAGCAAGCGATGCACTGATCGCTGGATGGAATGATGGAGGAGTGACACGCGAAGAGGTTCAGAATACCTCCCTCTTCTCGTTGAGGGCGGACATGGGGCGAGCTCCTTCTGCTGCTTGCTGCCGACGTCGACCGGATGTGAGGAGACGTGGCCGTAGCGGCACACGCAGAGCAGGAATTCCGCCTACCCCGGCTCTGGGGAGAAAAACCGAGAGCAGACAGGGCGTAGAGGAGAAGAGCGCAGGAATCTGCGAAGGGCCCAGGACCGATCCCATCATCCGCGCCTCTCTACTCATTTCAGCGGAGTCTTCGAAGCTGGGTTGACCAGCCCTGCTGGGCGAGGGCGGCAGAAATGTGATGCCCCTGTTGGCAAAAGCTCATGTGTCGTATGTACAGCCACTGAACCCATATGGCTGCCCATCGCTCTTTCGTGGGCGTCTGGGCGCATGGATTCCCATCGCCTGACCTCGTCGAGAGTCTCGCGAGAGCGCCTCGATCGCCCAAAGGGGCCTCCTGAGGCCAGAGCCGTGGGAACCTCACGCACCCTCACTCCCGGGAGCATCGGCCTGGGCCAGGAGGGCGCCCCCTCGGAGATCTGGCCTAAGCTCCCGGGGCTCCGAGCATGGCTCCGCGAGCGGCTCTGACAAGTCGTGCAGGGGAGCCCCGGCCACGAGACGCGGGAGCTCCAGGGAGCGAGATCCGAGCTCATGGTGGGGACCTCGAAAAGCTGGCTTGCAAGAATTGGCGGCCCGCACAAGGGGGTGGAGGGAGGGGGGAAAACTTCTTAGAAGCAGGCTGCTTCTTGGAAGGCGCTGGCCTCACATCTATAGTCTATAGAGATAAGGCCCGCGCCTTCTGAGAAGCAGGGGTGCTTCTAAGGAGCCCTCCCCCCTCCCCCCCACCCCCCTCTGCGCGTGGCTGCAAGAAAGCGGGTCTTGAGGCACACGGGTCCTGCCTCCTGGGGCCTTCCCCTGGGATCACCTCATCGCCCCGAACAGCTCTTGGACGCCCCCGGGGCCCGGCCAGGGCCCCGAGAGAGCTTGCTCCATGGCGCGAAGTCCCCCCCCCTCGGCAGCAGCACCCGCCCGCGCATGGATCACCGAGCGCGCTCCGCTACTCTTTGGTCGGGCATGAACCCCCTACAGGCGGATGTTCGACGGAAAAAACGAAATACCCAAAACTTGTCAAACAACAAATCGAAAAATCGTCCCCAGACCATTTTTTGACTTTTTCCCTTGTAAAGGGACATGCCGGACCTAACACTACTCGCAAAGTGCCCGCTCGCAAACGTCTGAAAACACACACGTGTCTTCCCCCCTACGCAGAAGAGCCCACATCCCCCACAGCAGATGCGGGCCATCTGGGAGGAGCTACTTTGCGAGGAGGAGGAGGAGGAGGAGGAGGAGGAGGAGGAGGAGGAGGAGGAGGAGGGAGGAGGAGGATGATGAGGAGGAGGAGGAGGAGGAGGAGGGAGTAGAGAAGCGCGCTTGCCGAACGGAACAAGCACGCCAAAGTGCCAGTGCCGGCGCCGACGGCGCTGCCGTCGTCCGACGGAGCCGCGGGGCGGCGAGGAGGAGGCGCCAAAGGAGGCCGGCGGAGGCAGGGCGGCCCCGAGCGAGCTCCGCCGCCGCCGCCCTCGCGCGGGCTCGCGGCGAGCCGGTGTTGGTTGTGAGCTGGCGTCACGTCGGGCGTGCCCCTCTGCAGGGGGAATCTTCCAAAATGGTCAGTGCTGGTATAAAGGACTGTTTTGCCTCTTGTTTCTTCCCTCCAAAATCCGCCCATCTGGGGGGCACGCCCGACCTCGAGCTGGCGGCTGGGAGTGGGCTTCTGGCCTCGAGGCAGGCAGGGTGCGGCGAGGCAGCCGCGGCGGCGGCGGCTGCACGGCCAGGCGCGCGGGCGCGGAGCCGCGCCGGTCGCTCGACCCCGCCCAAACGGGTGCGGACAGGCATGCCCCGAGGGGCTCTCGGGCGGCGCTGGGCGCGAGTACCGCCCCGCCCCGCGAGGGCGGACACGCGGCAGCGTCCAGAGCCCCGCGAGGGCGGGTACACGCGTCGGCGCCCAAAGCTCCGCGAGATCCTCGCCGACCAGCCATATCTGGGGGAGCTGTGGTCCTTACCCCCCTGGGGGAACCCATCGCGTCGACGATCTCCCGAGAGGGGTGTCGAGATCGATGGGTCCCCCAGGGGGGTAAGGACCACAGCTCTCCCAGTTGTGGCTGGCCTGCCTCGGGGAGGGCGCGGCCCCACACCCGCGGGGGGCGCGGGCGCGGGCGCGGCCACGGGAGCTGGATCCTGCGCGGCGTGCCGCGGCGGCGGCCCCCGGCGACGCGCCGCGCCCCCATGGGGGCAGCGGGGCGGCGGGCCGCTCTCCGCGCCGCGGGGCGGAACAAGAAGCCCTCGGAAGGGCTCCTTGCTTGCTCCTCTTTTGACAAGTTGTGGCATATCTTTGGGGGGTATGTCTAATTTTTGGGGGGGTATATGTCTAATTCTGGGGCATGTCCAATTTTTTGGGGGCTGTGTTTCACTTCTCGTGGGGAGCTCTGGCGCGCCTGCGGACCGGGCCGCGGCCGGCGCGCCGCGCCTCGCGGCGCGGGGGGCCAGAGAGCCGGCAGGGGCCGGGGCCGCGGTCGACGGGGGAGCCCGGCCGGAGCGCCTCCGGGGGGCGGGGAGGCGGCCCTCCGCCGCCCGGCGCCGCCCGCTGGCTGCCACAGTATGGCGTGGGCCTCGGGGGAGCTCTCGGCCCCTGCCCGCGGGGCCCGGCACGTCGCCCGGAGCCGTGGCTTGACGGCCCCATAGGCCTATGTCGGGCCTGTCCCCCCCAGGGGGATTTACGACGAAAACGTAGAAAATTACCCCAAGAATACCCCAACAAAGTATACAAAAAACGAAACAAAAAAAAAGCCCCCAGACCATGTTTGGACTACTTTGGGGGTATTTTTAGGGTATGTTTTATTTTTCGTCGAAGATCCCCCTGTCGGGGGACAGGCCCGACTCAACCATAGGCCCGAGAGGGGCCTCCAGAAGACGAGAGTGTTGGGAGAAAGCCTGGTCCGTGTTGCGACGCGACGCCGGGCTCTGCGGGGGGGGGGAGCGAGGGGGCAGAGCAGCTCGAGGGGGGTGGGGACAGCGAGCTTATAGATCGGCGCTGCGTCGCTTCTAGATCGGCGACGGGCCCTCGACTGCTACAACGCACGCCTCGGGCGGGTGGTGATGGGGGGGGGAGACCTAATTTGGGGGGGGGGGGGGGGGAGAAAAGGGCCCCTGAAGGAAAGGGCCCCTGCAGGGCCCTTGACTTCACCCCCAAACAACAAAGGAGCCCCACGCCAAGAAGCGCCCCCCTCCAGGGTGGCCTCTGGCCTTCTGGAGAGCTTCGACGGCTCTGCTGCGGAAAGACAGCGCGACGCCCCCGCACCATAAAAAATCTGCGGACGCCCTGGGGCCTCTCTAGGGGGCCACATGCGAACCCTACCCCTACCCCCCACGATTTCTGAGGGGGAGGGTGGGGTTCACTTCGCTCGGGAGCTCCCGAACGAAGTGAACCCCACCCTCCCTATCAAAAATCGTGGTGGGTAGGGGTAGGGTTCGCATGTGGCCCCCTACTCTCAGGGCTGGGCCTCTCGTGGAGGGATTCTCGTGGACTGGCCTCCGCCTGCAGGCCGCCCCCCACAGGACCACCCGCCCCAGCGCCCCCGGGCAGGGTGGGGCACCCGACCGCCCCGAGCTCGGAGAGACGCGCGGGCGCCCGGGTGCCGATGGCCTCCCCCTCCGGAGCCCCGGTGCTCCTCCTCCCTCCTCCTCCCCGATCCTCCTCCTCCTCCTCCTCTCGCCGCTCCTCCCCCTCCCTCCTCGGGCCCCCCATCACGCCCTCCCTCGCGCCCCTCCCTCCCTCGCGCCCCTCTCCCTCCCTCCCCACGCCCCTCTCCCTCCCTCCCTCACGCCCCTCCCCCTCCCTCCTCACGCCCCTCTCCCCCCCTCCTCACGCCCCTCCCTCCCTCCTCACGCCCCTCTCCCTCCCTCCTTGCTCCCCCCCCCCCTCCTCACGCCCCCTCCCTCCCTCCCCCTCCTCGTCCCTCCCTCAGCTACCTCCTCAGGTCGGGCTGTGGCACCCCCATCCGAGGGGGCGGCTCCGCACTGGGAGCTTTCCCGTCAGGAGGGCGTGCCCCAGCACAAGACCTGACGCACGGCCGCGGCAAGCGGGCGCGCGAGATGCCATGTGATAGATCCATATCCCTCGCCGCTGGGCGCGCGAGCTCTTCCCTCCCCCATCCCGCCTTGTCCCCTCCTCTTCCATCCCTCCTCGTCATGGCCCCCTCCGGCTGCCCCTGCAGGAAAGGCGTCTGTGGAGAGCAACATCGGGGAGACGTAAGACTCGGGTTCGGGGGACTCGGGTTGGCCTGACGGGGCCATCATGAAAATGACGAGACCACATCTGAAATTTGACGCGAACTCCCGCTGCAGACTTCCCACGAGAGCGCTCGTCAAAAAGCGTCGGCAAACCCGACTTCCGGCGTACTCGAGTCTTGCGTCTCACCTTGCAGAAGGGATACCGATACCGCTACTCCCTGGACCTCTCCCGGGATGCGCTCTGACCCGGATTTCTTGGCGAATCCACCTGTGGCGACGAGGCCCCCCGAGGGAGGGGTAGCGGCATGGCTACCTTGTCCTCCTCCGGTTCTTGAGCAGGGGCCGACCGTCCCGGCATTCCTATAGGCCTACCACGGCATGGTTCTTAGATCCCAACAATGTTCGAAAAGCAAAAAAAACAATGCTCTTAAACCATAAACCCGATGTGCTAAAACAAGACAGCCCCAGCCAGAAATGTTCTAAGAACATGTCGTGCAAACCACAAAAGGTTATTGGAACATTCTGCGGTGGGCCTACAGGCCAGCCAGGACGCTTCGCCACTGCCTGAGGTTCGCTGCCCCTGCAGGGAAGGCATCGGGGCGGCGCCGGGCACCGGAGAAAGACGCGCGGCGCCTGCAGGAACCGGAAGTGGTGCTCGGGGGTGCCGGCGGGCACCGGGCCGGGGGGCTCCTGCACGGAGCTGCCGCGCAAGGCTGCCGCTCGCCTCGCCTCGTCGTCGCCGTCGGCGTGGCCGTCGTCGTCGGCGTCGTCGTTTCTCGTCGTCCTCGCCCTCGCCCTTGTCCTCGACCTCCTCCTCCTCCTCCTCCTCCTCCTCCTCCTCCTCCTCCTCCGCCTCCTCCGCCTCCGCCTCCTCCTCCTCCTGTTTTACGCTGGGCAAGCTTGAGCGTCTTGGCTGTAGCGTCCGTCCTCCTCCTCCTCATCCTCCTCCTCCAGCTCCTCCTCCTCCTCCTCCCCCCCCTCCTCCTCCCAGGAGCCGCCCAGGCACAAGCGCCCGCGAGCTCCCCTTCACGCGACACGCACACACCGCATTTTTGTGCGCAGGCGCCCAAGGGCAGAGCAAGCGGAGCGGTGCCACTCGGGCGGAAGGCGCGGCCATTTAGACACACGCACGCACACACACACACACACACACACACACACACACACACACACACACACGCTCTCCGTTGAACGATGCTTATGTGGCCGCTTCCGGAAACCCTGCACCCACAAATGTTGTCATCTCTTGGAAGCGTCTGTTGGTTACTTCCGCCGCCTTCCGTCAGCCTTCCGCCGGCTTCCGCCAGCGGAGGCGGCCCGGTTTTACTTCCGCCAACATTCCGCCTTCCTTCCGCCGCCTTCAGCCGCGGATGAGATGACAACTCCTTTGATCCTCGAAGGCGAGGCCATTTTTGGAACGCCTCATATGTCACGATGTGAAGTGGGCACATTTATTCAGATTGGAAGAGACTTATTTCAACACAGACCGTGCTGCCAGAGAAGAAAAGTTACGACATGCCAACAACCTCGCGATCAGTGCCTTAAAACTGGATGGAGACGACCGCGTGGCACAAGCGACTGAGAGGAACATTGATGAGAGTAGCCACCCCACCACAAAAAATCGGGAACACTGATCGGGTGGGAATGGCACAGTTGTCGACCGGTAGCACAAGCATTGTAGCATTTCCAATACATGTTCCTCCACGGGGCTGGCGGCAAACAGGTTGAAGAGCATCACGAAGCGAATTCTAGACTGGATGGAAAATGAAGTTGCGGCAGGAGACTGCACCTGCGGATTCGGATGGCAAAATGACGTCACTGGGAGGAGATGTAAGAGGGCCGAAGATAATGTAGGAGTATGCGAGCCAGCAGTGGAGAGCAGGACCAACATCCAGGTCAGAGAGTTTCTCATCGCGAACCACATGGCAGTAGCTGGCACCTTTCGATAGACAAGGCCGACGTACTGCAACGGCAGTCGCAAGAGCAAGATAGACCACATCGCAGTGCCGATAAGCGTGGTCGAGAGAATCAGAGAGTTGCCCCCGCTTCTTGGACTAGCTCGGAGGCTACAGGCACAAATATCGACACACATGCACCATCAGGTTCCAGTATATATTTGAAATTCCGTGTTATATAAGGACGGGCATCCATGCCGTCAGGGCCCGCATTTGCAACAGCACGCCGCCAGCCAAAAGGGACCTCATGATGACAGCCTACAGCAACGGCAACAAGCGCAGAGACTTCTTGAGGGAAGTTGAGGAGAACGCGTGGAGCATCATGGAGGACGGTGTCGATCATGCTGGGGCCAGGACGGCGTTCAGAAAAGTTGGGATGATGTTTCAGCATGCATGCGGGAGGCTATGACAGAAAGTCCCCCCAAGCAGCAGCACAACATCGTCGACTATGAAGTAATGGGAGAGGAGCAGGTTCAGCTGCTGAAAGAAAGACCACGATTGCGAGAGGATATTGCAGATTAAAGTAACAGTTGTTGATGGAGGTGGCCCAGCGATATTTGACATCGTTGAGAAACACCTACACAGGTCATCGAGACATCTGCAGCACGCACGACGAGAAAAACGGCAGAAATACAATTACATTGGTTGAGGACAAAGGCAAAGCTTGGAAAAAAAGACTGGCGAAAGTACACAGGCTCAGGATAGTAGTAGCTAACACAAATATGCTCAAGATAATAATAGTTAACCACGGCACGGAATGCCGGTTGAACAATACGAGCATCGAAAGACGGGGGAATGGAAGGTGAGCGCACCGATTGGGGCGACTGGTTATCCGACAAGTCCCTCCCTCTTCGGCTCCCCAGACCTCCCCACCTTGACTAATAACAATCTAGCGGGACACCTACGACATCTCAGACGGGCTCCCAAACGCAGAGCTGGCCCAGCTTGGGGCGTACTCGCAGATGCCTTGTGCATGAGCGCTGAATCGAAAAGGGTACGCATACGAAAACGACCGCAAGCTCGTGCCACAGGTTGTCAGCAAGACGATATACCGACTCGCCCTCATGCGCTTAGTGAGAGCGGCCTCGCGTAGTGCCATTCGGTCGCAGTCGGTCCCCCAGAGCTAGAACCACCTGAAGCATGGGATCTAGGAACAACGCATCTCACACTGTTGCGACGCAGCTGGGGTCTCCTACTCCAGCGACCTCCAGAGGATCTGGAGACAGCCCCAGCGCACAGATGTTGCACACGAGGGACTACAAGACTACAAGGACGGCGGCGGGAGGGGTGCAGACTAAGCATAGCAGAAGCTAGATGGAGATACAGACAATCTTCGCGGTGTCTAGATAGGGCTACCAATGCCGTTCCCCATGCTCGCCCCTTTGCCTCATCGCAAGGGGCTGGGACAGGAGGCCAAGGCAAGGATGAGGCTGGGGGCAAACGACGGTAGTGGGATGATGGGGGCGTGTCTCAAAGGGAGCGTGGACCATTGGAACTCCGCCGCCCCCCCGAACAGGGCGAATGCAGCGAAGAGGAGGACGAGTCCCGACTAGCACGGGTCCCATGCGGGACCTGCGCAGGGACGCTTTCCCCCCGGCTCGAGCCCACGGCTATGGGTAGCGACGGCGATGCTGGTGAGGACGTCGACGACGATCGCTCGTCACGAGCTGTAATCGCGTCCAACGACAGCGGACTCGAGCACGAAAGCGGCAGCGCGCGGCAGTGGCCGGCCATGTTAACGTCACCACATCGGAGGGGGCGTTTGTTAACCTCGCTCGCACTTCAGATTGCCCTTGCAACGAAACGGGGGGACGATTTGTTAACATCGCTCGCCCTTCGGAAATTGCATACATGATGATGCACATGCCTGACATGTGAAAACAGATCCTGCCCCCTCCCCCCCCACACCCCAGATAAGCAGCACTGTGGAACCCCACTCCGCGAAGATCATACTGACAGGCTCAGCCCCCCTTCAACCTGATGTCAGTCGACCAGCAAAACTCAGCCACGCAACATCCACTTGCGACGGCACAAACGCATTCGCATGCAAACAACGTAGCAGCATGACAAAACATCACCATAACACGAGCAGAGCAGAGAACGTACAACTAGTAGATCAAGCAGTACAGCAAGCTACCACTCACGTGAAGGCACTGGATGGAGCTGCGGGGTTTCACCCACAGAGTGGTACGACCATGGGCCACTCGCTCGCGGCAGGCGGCTTCATTGACATGGATTCCCCCGCTATGAGCCAGTGGAACGCCAGTTTGTCAGACCAGGGCGTCAGCTACGAATGAGATACAGGGAAATGCCCAGCAACGAGCATGGATGTAGACATTGGTATTGAAAATCCGTTGACGCGTTTACCTATTCATTCATACGCACCGCAAGCACGATACATTACACAGCAGCGTAATCATGCGACCCAGGGTTCCAAGACTGCATCCAAACGAAGGGGCACTTCCCGAACGAAGACAAAAACCACCTCATCAGTTTCTTTTGAGTGGGCCCCTTTGAAGCAGCCCGAGAATGATAGCGACAAAAACGATGAAGAAGTAAGAGTCCTGGGGCCATTCAGGAGCTTCGATCAGGCTATGAGAGCAGAGTTGGGGAATGTTGCGAGAATAGAGTTGGTGAATCGCATCAGAGGGCCCGATCAGCATGGAGGTCGTTCGGAGACGGTTGGCACCAGCCGCTCCACCACCACTTGTTGCGCACCCTTGTCGTTGCTTCGTCTACAGCAAGGCCATCACTGGCCTCGCAGCGTTTCTTGACGAGATCGGTGGACTCAGTGCTGAAACGCATGCTGAGATGTCCGATGCACGGAGAGGGGAAAAAAAGAGGCCGAGGGACGAGTGAGGACCTTGCGCGCTAGTGTTGCGTTTCAGCTTGAGGATATCAGCCACACGGCGACCGAGCTCCGAATATAACGCACCAGGTGGTGGCAGCACATTGCGACAGAGCACAACAATCACTGGCAAGGGTTGACAGCAATGTTCGGACCTTGGAGCCGGACAGGTTGATCGGAACCTCCAGGCTCCCAGCAAGTGGACGGAACATGGAACATAGTACCACATTGGCCGTTCAGTGACATGATGATCTAGACGCGCTAGCTAACGTGGACCCCCATTTCCACAGGGCGTGGAATGACCGACAAAACGTGCCACATGTGTTCAGGACCCAGAGCCCAGCATGAGGTTTGCCAACGCCCCTGTTGGCAAGATGAGAGACGTGCTTAGCAACAAGGGGGCCAGGAGGGCGACTAACTTATTCAGGAGGTTGGACAGTACACCATGCAAGGGGGGGCAAATGAACATCACAGAGCACCAGCACGACAGGACCAACAGCGAGCACAGCAGCGGAATATATGATTTCGTCTGCACGGGAGAAATGGGGGAGGAGGGGATGGGCTGGGATGCGGCATTTCGCTTACGACGGTTAAGGCACTCACGGCGCATGTCACGCAAGCGCACAACATGAGAAGCCTACAGTCTGTCCTAGCGCGGACTAACGTATGCCATTCGTGCAGAATACCGCTTGCCAGCTGAACACCACGCTTACGGCACGCGATCACCATGTCCCGCTCCGACCCCCCTGTGCTGCCCCACCAAAGCCAAGTCCTTGGATCCCAAGCCAGAGGAGAAGCGCTTCGATCACTGTGGCCTGCGCGGCCGAGGGGCCCCGAGCTTCACGAACACCTGCGACACGTGACCACACACACGCTCCTGGGCCGAGCGAGGTCTTGGAGGGCCACGACGGGAGACGAGGCGCTGGAGGCAGCCCAGGAGGCGGAGGCACCTGCAAAAGAAAACAGGCACGTGGAGGCCAGAAGGACGGAGCTGGCAGACCGAGGGGCCCAGGAGAAGCCACGACGACAGAAGAAGCAGTACTCGTGCGGAAGCTCGCCCTGCACAGTGTAAAGATGGTGCGCCTCGCGTCGGGCAGCCAGTGGGACTTCTACCTGGCCGAGGGGGACATCGAACCCAGCAGCGCGGCAGTGACAGCAGAAGTGAGCCACGCAGAGAAGACCAAGACTGTCAGCAACAAGCAGGTGGGCCCCACACACCTGCACATGGGAGTGGACTTGTTCATCGGCCTGGCGAACACTACGAAGACTAAGAGGGGGCCCAAGCGCGTCCTCATGGAATTCAGTATGCCGATCGAGATGCTAGGCATGAAGGAGTTCGCGGTCATCATGATGCACTTCAGGGTGAAGAAGGGCTAGAGCGAGGCAGGCAAGCCGAACAAGTGGAAGAGTCACATGATGGTGAACAGCTTGTGCCTAACGCTGTGGACGGGGTGCTGGGAAGGCCAGATCAACGCGAACAGGGAGGGCAACCAAGAAGAACTGGTCAAGATCGGCAAATACCACATCCGAAATATCAGCGAGACGACCCGCAAGACGCTGCTGCACGCCAAGGCGGAGCGGATCCTCGGGGTGCCGCCCCCGTCCGCGCTCGAGAGGCAGCTGCAGGCGGCGCTTCAGGCGCAACAGTCGACGGCAGGGTTGGAGGTCCAGCCAGTCGGCGTGAGTGGCTTGAGAGACTCAGCACAGCAAGGCAGCAGTCAAACCCGAGTCGCTTGCCAGGCTCGGGTTTGACGTGTGAGTATGTGCACTCTTGCTTGGGGGGTGGAGGGGAGAAGGGAGGATGAGGGAGTCGGACAGCGTGACAGCCTGCCAAAAAAGAACAGACGGTTGCTGCATCAGCTGGGCTTCCGTAGAGTGCCGTTTCCCGGGTAGAGGGTGATGGCCCTGAGTGCCATAAGCCCCCATCCCAACCATAACGTGGTTGCTTGGTTCAGGGGCTCGGCAACGAGCTGACGCAGGCCCACAGGGTCAACAGCCCATGGGTCCCGCAGGCTGCCCCCTGTAGCGCCGATACGAATGCCAGCAGCCATTAGCTCGATTGCAAGACGAGACGAGCCCTGGGAGGACTTAATGCTGCCAAGGCTTCCGACTCCGGCTCCGCCTCCTCCTCCTCCTCCTCCTCCTCCTCCTCATCCGCCTCATCCTCCTTCTCGTCGTCGTCCTCCTCCTCCTCCTCCTCCTCCTCATCCTCCTCCTCCTCCTCCGCTCCTCCTCCTCATCCCCCTCTCCTAGTCCTCCTCCTCTTCCTCCCCCTCATCCCCATCTGAAGCCAAGGCAGGCGATCGGTTGCCTGGTCCAGCTCGACCTTGCCAGACTTCGGGTCTGCCTTTGCCTTTGCCTTCGCCTTCGGGTCAGCCTTCGGGTCAGCCTTGGCCTTGGCCTTCGCTTTCGGGTCTGCCTGGCGCTCGGGATTTCAGGGACAGCCCTGCTCACCGCGGTCACCCTTTCAGGCTCTAAGGCCCCCACCCCGTCCCACTCCCTAGCCCCTTCCTCTCCCCATCCGACTCCTACCCCGTCTTCCTTCAATGTCTGGTATGTTTTCTCTCCGTGTGTAGACGGATATATATATATATATGTATATGTCTGTGTGTATGTGTGTACGTGTATGTATGCGTTATCTCGTTATATACGTCTATCGGTGTCTCGTTTCCTCTCTCTCTCTCTCTCTCTCTCTCTCTCTCTCTAATATATATACACATATATATATATATATACATGTGTGTGTTCCTCTTCCTATATTTTTACAAGCCCGGGGGGGGGGAAACCCTCCGCCCCCCCCCCCCCCCCAAAAAAAAAACTGGATCCCTGGGATCTGGGGTTCTCGGGCTCCCTTGGACGTCCTTGGAAAAGGTCACCCGGCTTTCCAGGTCTCCACAAACGCCTTGCCAGGAGACCCAGAGCGATCAGAGGGGTCATCAGAAAGGCTCAAGGGAGGCCCCAGACAGCACAAGAGCGCTCCAAGAGGGACTCCACTTGCTTCAGGACGGCCCAGAAGACCCCCAAGGCACCTCAAAAAGCTTTCCAAGGGGCCTTCAAAACACACAAATCGTCACATTCCCATCGTAAAACTTACAATTTTAGCATATTCGCCTTTCGGATTGCATCAGCTTTCAAGACGGCTTCAAAGCCCCCGAGATCGCCTCAAGACGCCCCAAAAGGCCCCCAAGAAAGCTTCAAGACGGCCGAGCCGGGCCCCACGACCGCCCACGAGGGCCCCAAGACAGCCCATAGTGGACCCAAGAGGCCACCCTAGGGCTCCCAGCACAGACCCAAAAGGGCCATGGGAGGTCCCCGGAAGGGCCCAAGATGGGTCCAAAGGGGGCTCCAACGGGCCCAAGCTCCCCAAGACGGCCCAAGAGGGCCCAAGGACGGCCCATGAAGGCGCCAAAACGGCCCACGAGGGCCCCAGAAACACCCCCACGATGTTTCCGAATGCCAACATTCATTGATTTTGCTCCCATGACATTCCACATTGTGACCCAGTCGTTGAGGGTCCCGTGGCACGCAGCGAAGATGCCCGAGGATGCCCCCAACAACTTTCACAAGATGATCGTGAGGCCTCCAGGGGTCTCAGAAGCCCCCGAGAGGCAATCGACTCCTACGCGCGCATTCCCTTGGATTGGCAATGCTTGGAATTATGATGCATGGCTTCACATTGCGTTGCTTTCTTTGGCACTCACTACATGGCACCACTGTGGCCTGAGACCTCCTCCGAACTCTGACCTCGGAGAAGCCCTGCCCCAAGGTGGTCCAGCCACTTCCGCTGTGAGACTTGCTCGCAACTCTACGTTCCAGGGCTCCTTGAGCTGAGGTGTTCGGGCCACTTCCGCTAGAAACGTTCTCGCAGCTCTGGGTTCCGACATGCCCTGCCCCATGGTATTCCGCCACTTACGCTTGAGACATCCTCGCGTCACTGAGTTCCGGTCTGTCCTGAGCTGAGGTGTCCAGGCCGCTTTCGCTTGAGACATCCTCGCAACTCTGAAATCCGGTATGTCCTGAGCGGAAGTGTTCAGGCCATTTTCGCTTGAGACATCCTCGTACGCTGACCTCGGCGATACATTATTCCATGGTGATCTGGCCATTTTCGCCTGAGACCCTCGCACCTTTCAGTTGCGAGATGCCCTGAGCAACTGGTCAGGCCACTACCGCCTGAGATACGCATGCGTATGCGAACCCATAGTTATATACATACATATAGATATGTATACATATGGGCGTGCACCGACAAAGCACGTACGAGTTGCATATGCGTGTTCATACCCTTACGCGCATAAAGTTATTTGTGCGCTGTATACAAACATACAACACTGTAAGTATATTGTATACACATAGACATAAGTATATATATATATGTACGGAACGTGTATGCGCATGCGCGTATATACATGCATGCGCGCATGACGCACGCACGCATTCCGCTTGCGTGCGGAACTCAAAGGACCAAGGTGCATGGCGCGCAGCGCCAGTGCAGTCTTGTACATATATATACATATATATGCATATCGCGCGCTCTCGCTCGCTCTATATGTATATATATATATATATGTGTGTATGGTTTCCCCTCTCGCTTGGTCTCTCTATGAAGATGCGTCGCTCTCTCTCTCTCTCTCTCTCTCTCTCGCTCTCTCTCTCTCTATATATAGTTTTGTATATATAAACATATGTGTGTAACGTTCCGTCTCTCTATCTCTGTACATCCCTCCGTCTCGCTCTTCTTCTCTCTCTCTCTCTCCCTCTCTCTCATTATTCTCTCTCTCTCTCTCTCGCTCTCCTCTCTCGTTCTCTCTCTCTCTCTCTCTCTTTCTCGCGCGCGCTCAATCTCTCATCTCTCTGTATCTCTAGCGTTCGCTCGCCCCGTCTCTGTCTCTCTCTCTCTCTCTCTCTCTCGCTCTCTCTATGTATAGCTCTGTATAGAAATGTGTGTGGTTGCGACTCTCTCTCTCTCTCTCTCTCTCTCTCTCTCTCCCCCACCCCGTCTCTCGTTCTACACTTCTGTGCCGCCCCTCCCAGAGCAATGCCCCCCATACCCCCGTTTAGAAGGACAAGGGCACCGCGCCCGTGTAGCGAGGCGAGCGCCTTTGCTTGCGGTCTGAAGGGCAACACTTCGAGAGCGACGGTGCGGGCCAGACGAAGGCCGTGCCATCCTCGAGGGAGTCCCCATCGAAGCGGTGAGCCGAATCCGTCGAACTAACATCGGGCACAAAGCGCGCAGTGGAGGCTTCAAATCAGCACATTCACGTTCGGGTAGTCCGACCCGCCTCTTCCCCCTCCTAGTACCAGTGCTCCTGCCAGGAGTGAATAAAAGCAGAAAGAATCAAGGAGGACGAGGGGGAGGGGTGGGCATAGCATCGAAACATAGCCAAATGACAGCTCCCCGCGCGTCTGAGTGCAGAAGAACGATATCAGGCCGAAGCGACCCTCCCTCCCCTAAACTTGCCAGCATGGGGGGATGAACATGGAAACAACGGGAGGGGGAGAGGAGGGGGGGAGGGGGACAAGGAGAGAGGGAGAAAGGAAAAATACCACAACCAGCTCGCTCGTTGTTCGTCCCCGGCCTCCTCACCGACTGCTTCAAAATCCAACGGTAGCCCAAAGGGGGAGAGGGGGGAGATGATAAGGAGGTGGGGCAGGTGGAAGAGCAGGAAGAGCAGGAACAGGTGTCAAAAGGAGGGAAGAGGAGTAGGTGGAGACGGAGGAGACGGAGGGGAAGACGAGATGAAAGAGCCAAGGGATATGAGAAATCGCGGCAGGATGCAGCAGAGTCCCAAGCAGTTCGAGTACACACGTGCATACATAATCCAAACAGTAACGATAGAAACAGGCCGCACTGGATTCTGTCCGCTAGCGTTAACCCTGAGCAACTTACGTCTGACCTGATGTACCTCGGGGCCCACTCGCATGCAGGCCTGTATCGGATACCTGACCTGTTCCTCGAAGGTACCGCGGACCTCGGCCACGATCTTGGCCGCCACATTCGCCTGGGTCGTTCCTTGTGGCCCATCTCGGCGCATACGACCGGGGGCACAGGAAGCAACGCTGCAGGCCATTCGTGCTTCTCGGCGATGGCGCATGTCCAACCCGCGACCTGTGGATGCGGTGGCCCCTACGGACACCACAGCCTCGCGAAGGCGCAAGACCGCCGGGCACGCTGCCGTCGTGTGCATGCCCATCGGGCTCTCAGACCCCGGAGGAGGAGGAGGAGGAGGAGGAGGAGGAGGAGGAGGAGGAGGAGGAGGAGGGAAGGGGGAGGAGGAGGAGGAGGAGGAGGAGAGAGGAGGAGGAGGAGGAGGAGGAGGAGGAGGAGGCTGATCAGCCGCTGTGCGCTCCGCCCCGGAGCCGCCCGCTTCCAGCCCGACTCCGCCGCGTCGCGGCGCGCACGGCCGCGAGGCCCGAGCGGGCGACCAGCTGCAAGGCACGCACGCTTCCCGTCGGCGGCGAGGCAGAGTTGGCCGTACCAGCGATGGAGCTAGACGGGGGCACCGACCGAAAAGCGGATGGGCCAGCGTGCCAAAGCGTGCAGGGGCCGTGCCAGTGCACGCCCATGCTGCTGTCCAACCGGCGCGCAGGCAGGAGGACAGACCTACAGCTCCAGGGCGTCAGGCTCCACGTCAGCGCTCGCGTGGGCAGTGGAGATGCCTGCTCTCGCGGGTGCTTCCTGCGCGCCTCCGTGACGACACGGCAAGCCGCCTGCGCTCGGACCTCCGCGGTGATGGCCCCGAGGCGCGCGAGCTCCCACGTGGCACTGTCGACACTGTCGAACCATGGCCACAAGAACGTGAGTCGAGAAAATGAGCCCCCTCGCCGCAGGCCCGAGGGCCCCCTGGAGATACCCAGGACGAGGCGCTTCAAGTGTGAAGGCCCTCGACACGAAGAGCACCAAGAGCAGAAGGTTGTTCTGGACCCTCGTCCCAGCTTTGGTCCTGCTCCGTCCTGCGCCATCACCGACTACTCCCACGCAGGGTCACGCGCTTGCAGTGCGCACTGCGCGAAACCATCTGGGAGTATGCCGCTGCATGTCTGCAGACCAGGCCTCGAGGCCCCCCTTGAAGATCATGGTGCATCGAAGATGCACGAACGAAACCCGGAGTGCGCGTGTTGCCACCTGGGCGACGAGAGCAGACGGGTCCTACGCGAGAAGACACAGCGCCCACACGCAACGGCGCACGCGGGCCGCCAGCGTGGCGCACCTCACAGTGAAGAAGGCGTGTGTTTGTTTTGCACGCGCGACCTCGGGCGGGGAAGTTGCGCGCGAAGTTCGGCGCAACGAGCCCGCTTTCTTCCGTCACTCACCTGTGCGTGTGCGCTGTTAGACTGGGTGCGCGGCCGGATGGCGAGGTCGGAGAGGGTTCGCCTCATCCGTGTGTCGTCGGGCACTCGTGGGCCGCAAGGGGAACAGCAAGCAAAAGGGCCCTCATCGCCCGAGTTCGAATATGGCCGGCCACTCAGGTGACCAAGGATGCTCAGAAAGAAAATATCCGCACGCGTGGCACCAACCAGTGGAATGCTCTGCAAAACGACGGGAAACTGTGACCCGACAGGCGCTTTATGGGTAGAGAAGACAGGCACTATGAAGACGAAACGTGACGAAGAATGGAAGCGCTTCAATCCACAAGGGAGAGCTGTGAAACACCGCTGGAGAGCGCACGGAACACCATTGGCGGCATATCTTCCATGCTCCGTCCATAGCGCATAGCGCGACTCTGGGCTGTCCAGCCCAGCGGCTTGAGCCAGAATGGACTACACTGTCAGAAGAGGTGGGTAGAGGAGGGGAGAGGGTCATCGATGGGCTTCTCTCTGCGTCGCCCCCTCATCCTTCTCCTCCTTGTCCTGCGCTCCTCTCCTGTCACCCTGCTCCTTCACCCCACCTGTCCCCTGCCTCTCCGAACCTGTCCACCAACCTGTCCCTCCCACTGCCGCCTGATCCTCGTCCTCCTCTTCCTCCTCGACCTCGACCTCGTCCAATGCGTCGTCTACGGCCTCGTCATGCCCTGCTTCTCCTCCTTCTACTCCTCCTCCTCCTCCTCCTCCTCATCATCATCATCATCATCATCATCAGCAGCAGCAGCATCATCATCATCATCATCATCATCGTCATCATCAGCATCAGCATCAGCATCAGCATCTGCATCATCACCCTCGTCCTCATCCTCATCCTCATCCTCATCCTTATCCTCATACTCCTCCTCCTCCTTCTCCTCGAACATCGAGATCCTGCTCCTGTCATCCTCGTCCTGATGTTCACCATCACTCCCTGCTCCTCCCCCCCTCCTCCTCCTCCCTCGCGCTTTCTTCCTCCTTCCTCCTCCATCATCCCTTCTCCTCCCGCACCCTTCATCCGCCCTCCCCCCTTCCCGGTCTCTGATCTGCCCTGCCCTCCGCCCGAAGGACGAGGATGGCAGAGCGGGGGGATCTTCTGCCTCCGAGAGCGGGCGCGGCTGGACGACGGTGCACCACCGAGTGCCGCCCTCTGTCCTTGAGAAACGTGCGCGAAGGAGCATCGTTCCACAGACCCCCGACCCCGCCAGCGTGGCATTGACCCCGCTGGCCGATGTACCCTCATGTCGGGAGCGGCCAAGAGGGGGGTGTCCAAGAGGGGGGGGGTGCAAATCATGACCGGCGGCATGTGCGCGGCCCAGCGGGGGGGCCAGGGACGTAATGAAATAAGAAGAGGCGCCATGAAATCTGGGGAAATATCATGGCCCCCGCCATGATATCCACCCGCCCTAGTCATCACCCCCCTCTTTTCCGCCCCCGATCATGGGTGGAGATGTTTGCTGTTCTCGCTTCCGGTCTCGCGGGACCCATCCCCACCTGGGGGAGTGGCCTGGTGGCGCCGAGATACTACCATGGCCAAGTGGAAATGGCGAGAGTGTCCGAGCGAAGGTCGGCGCCGGCCGCCAGGGGGCCGGGCGAAAGGGGGAAGGATTGCTAGAAGGAAGCTGCTTCTTAGAAGGCGCCGGCCTTACGTCTGTAGACAGGGCCCGCATCTTCTAAGAAGCAGCCTCCGTCTAAGAAGCCTGCCCCCCTCCCCCTACCCCCCCTGCCCGTGGCCGAGAAAGTGCCCAAGAACCGTGACGTCGCGAGACAATTGAGACATCGTGGCAAATCACGGCCAGGACCCTGGACCCCATCTCTGTGCGCCATGTTGAGCGCTGCATCGATCTGTGAGGGCCCCTGGGCCCGAAACGAGGCAGAATCGCCCGCCGTGGAAGAGACTGCGATGCCAGGACCTCAGGGTGGGGATCGTGCAGAGGCTGCTGGGCGAAGGTGCCCGAGAGCCTCCTACACCTGAACGCTCAGCTGCCCCGATACGCAACACGCAACACGTACTCCAGATTTCGTAATAAAGGAAGGGGGGTCTCATTTCGGGGGGGGGTCTCTATCTTGGAGGGCCTGGGGGGTCTGGGGACGATGTTTTGGAGGGTTCTCCCACGGGGGAGTTCTGAAATGGCGTGTCTTGGAGGGTCCAGACCCCCTCCCTTGTATTACGAAATCTGGAGTAGCGTATTGACACATGGCTCGACACGTAGACTGGCAACGTGGGTATGACGCCATCCTCTCGCCAACACGTGGGCCTATGCGCCGAGCCGGCACGCCACGCATCGACACGGACGCTGTGGAGCACGGGTGCGTGCTGCGCATGTCAGAACGAGCGTACCGTTAAATCGGGCCTGTCCCCCTACAGGGGGATGTTCGATAAACAATTTATATATATATGTATATATACATGTATATATAAATAAATAATAATAATATATGTATATATATATATAACAGAAAAAAAACAACAACAAAAAAAAAAAAAAAAAAAGTCTGGGGACTTGTTTTGAATATGTTTTGACCTTTTTGGGGCATCTTAGGGGTATTTTTTATTTTTCGTCGAAAATCCCCCTGTAGGAGGACACGCCCGACTTAAGCGTACCGAAGCAGCCGAGAGCAGGGCGGGGGTCGTGCAGACGATGCCGAGCGAAGGTGCCCGAGAGCCCCCTACACCTGCGCGCCCGCGGCGCGCAACAGCGGGCGCGGAACCCTCGGGCCGAGCCCTCCCTCGGCCCCGCCCCCTGCCCGGAGGCGGGCGGCCAAAAACCTCCCTCGCGCCTCGACGGGGGGAGGCGCGCGGAGAGCGGGAGCCCGGCGGCGCCCGGAGGGGAGCGGCTCTCGCGGGGAGGCCGCTGCGAGCCGCTCGAGTGCCGCGCCGTCGTCGCAGTTTTCCTTCGCAGCGGGCAGCGCTGCCTCGGCTCGGGCGCCGGGGACACTCACAGAGCGATGCGGCTCGAGAGGGCGCACAGAGATGGGGTCCAGGGCTCTGGCCGTGACTTTTTCGTGACGTCGGATCCTCCTCGGCCACGCGTGGAGAGGGGTGGGGGGAGGGGGAAGGCTTTTTAAAACGAGGCTGCTTCTTAGATGACGCGGGCCTTACATCTACTGAAACATTCCGCGCCTTCTAAGAAGCAGGGGTGCTTCTAAGGGCCTTCCCCCCTCCCCTACCCCCTTCAGCGCGTGGCCGATCCATGTCGTCCACTCGTCCGGCTTCAGCTCGCCTGGGCTTCGAAAAGAGGCGAAACGAAAGAGGACGAGCCGAGAGCGGACGAAGCGAAAGCGGACAAAACGAACGTCCACCGCTCGGGGGGGGGAGGGGGGGGGCGCGGGCGACCTCCCCCACGAAGGCGTGGAGGGCGGCGGGGGCGGATCCTCTCCCCACCCCCCCACCCCTCGCGGCGCGACGGAAGTCGTGGCGGCAGGCGCTTGGCGTGTTCGGCCTCTGGGGGCCCTCCTCGCTCAACAGGGACCGACCGCCCCGGCACTCCCAGAGGCCTACCGCGACATGATCCTAGAACCCCAACTTGTTCGAAGCACGAAAACAGAAGCTCGATGTGCCGAAACACAACAATATCGGCCTGAAGTGGTCTAAGAACATTCCGTGCTGACCACGGAAGGTTCTTAGAACATCCGCTGGTGGGCCCATGGGCAAGCCAGGACGCTTCGCCACTGCTAGAGCTTGGCCCTCTTCGACCTCTGGGGGCCCTCATCGGGGACCATGACAAAACACAACTCAGGCAGGAAGCACCAGCCCCCAGGAAGGGGCCCAACGCCCTCCAGGGGGATGCACGCCGTGACACAGATAGATCATGACGCTGGGGGCCTGGCTGGCGCTCCCCCTCGACGTGGCGACTTGATTAAAGACGACGTCGGCTCTCCTGGGGATGTCTGAAGAGGCCCAAAGACACACAAAGGAACACACACACACACACACACACACACACACACACACACAAATCCCACGAATCCCCATATTTTCTCGTATGTTCTGGGTTTTCGTTTTCCCCCCCACTCCTTCCCATATTTCCCTGGAAATCGGTAATTAGTTGTGTCTGTGTGTGTGCGTGTGTCTTCCCCCCCCCCCCGGCGGCTCGCCAGGGCCGCCCACCGCGTTCTGGCCCTGCGCGCCTGGCTGCTGCTGCCCCACCCCCAGGCTGCTCATCGTCGAACTTTTCGGCGTCTGAGCGTCCCTTCGTCCTCGCGGCCGTCACCCCCCCCCTCTGTGCCCGCCGGCCAATTCGCAAAGTCCCTTCCTAGCTTTTCGTTGGAGCGAAGTTCGCCGCCTCGCCGCCGAAAAAAAAAAATCAAAAACAAAAAAAAAAAAAAAAAAAAAAACGACCCCTCTGGGCTTAGGTGGTTTAGGGAGTTTCCTCGTCCCCTTCGGGGAAGGGTTTATCACTGTTCCCTATTAATATACACCCCCTTCCCCAGGCGACCGGCGGGAGCCAACCCAAGTCCACGCGGCCCCCCCACCATCCCTTCGTTAGAAACAATACAAAACACACTCTGCCCCTACCATCCCTTGTAAAAAACAATACAAAGCACACTCTGTTTCCAAAAATTCAGAGCATGCGCAGCGAACCCGATGCGGCATCCCCCCACCATCCCTGCCAAAAAAAAATACAGAGTGCACATGGCGGCGGCGGCGGCGGCTGCGGCGGCTGCGGCGGGGGCAACGGCTGCGGAGGCTGCGGCGGTGGCAGCGGCGGGGGCGGCGGCGGTGGCGGCGGCGGCGGCGGCGGCGGCGGCGGCGGTGGCGGCGGCGGCGGCGGCAGCGGTGGCGGCAACGACTGCGGCGGCAGCGACTGCGGCTGCGGCGGCTGCGATTTGGCAGCGGGGGCGGCGGCGGCGGCGGCGGCGGCGGGCAGCGCGGTGGCGGCGGCAACGGCGGATAGCGGCGGCGGCGGCGGCGGATTGGCCCCCAGTAGCTGACCATCCAAAGATGACTGCTGCATATGCTGCGGCTCGGGCCAGGCTCGGGTGCTACGCATGTGTTGGGAGGGCGGGTGGGAGTGAGCGAGACGGCTTGCGGGCGGGGAGGGAGACTCTGACCCCTCCCCCTACCCCCTCCCATGGACCTGGACGGGGGGGTCTGCGACGCGTTGGAGCGTCCAAAACGGCCTCGGCGAGGAAGCCAAAATCATTGGTTTTACCGAGGTTTTGGCCCCATTTTGACCTCCTGAGGGGGGGGCTAATTTAGGACCCCCCTCTCCTGTGATCGATCTCCTCCAAGATGGACCCAAGAGGCGCCCAGGAGGCCCCAAGAGGCCCCGAGATGGCCCCAAGATGGCCCCATGTGGCCCCAAGAAGCCCCCCCAGATGTCTCGCGGCCGCTGCCCCTGGACTGGCTTCTCATCCTGAGTCGCTGCTGGACGGCCCCGGGGCCCGGGAGGGGCCCCCGGGAGGCCGCAGGTGGCGAAACGCCTCCCGTCGTGCTTTTCTTGACGCGGCGCGAGGGGGCCTGGGGGGCCGGGAAGGGGGGAAGCGGACCGGGCCGGCGACGAAGGCAGGCCGTGCACCACCAGCACCACCACCGCCACCGCGGGCCCCGTGGGGCCCCAGCGCGGTGCAGAAGCGCCCTCCTGGCAAGGGGGCCAGGAGGGTCTGCACGCGACCCTGGGGCACGGAGTGGCCCTGGCCCCAGGCGTGGTCGGGGCTGGACCTGAGCGTTGCTGTTCGCTTTGGGTTCGTTCTGTTCTTCGTTCTGCTCTGCCTGCTTCTTCCTGTGCCTCCCTGCCGAAACGGAACACAGAGCACAGCCGAAGTCCAGCAGAACAGCGTTCAGGTCCAGCCCTGGGCGTGGTCGTGGTGGTGTGCGATCGGTCTGAAGGAGGGAGGAGGAGGGATGGGGAGGGAAGCGAGGAGGGGGAGGAGGAGGAGGAGGAGGAGGAGAGGAGGAGGAGGAGAGGAGGAGGAGAGGAGGAGGAGGAGGAGGACGAGAGGAGGAGGAGGAGCGAGGAGGGAGGAGGAGGAGAGGAAGGAGGGAGGAGGAGTATCGCGAAGGAGGGAGGAGGAAGAGGAGGAGGAGGAGGAGGAGGAGGATGAGGAGGAGGAGGATCGGAGGAGGCGGAGTCGGGGAGGAGGAGGAGCCGATCGAGGAGGAGGAGGAGGAGGAGGAGGGAGGAGGAGGAGGAGGAATGAGAGGATGGAAGGAGGAGGAGAGAGGAGGAGGAGCGAGGAGGAGGAGGAGCGAGGAGGAGGCCGATCGGGGGCCTACGACGGGCCGGGGCCAGCACTCACGCAGACGAGCGAGGGCCGCAGGCACTGCGGCGCGTCGCTGCCCTTCGTGCGCAGCACCCAGCCTGCCCGCAGCTCGTTGCAGACCTTGTCGGCCACGTACTCCTCCCGGGGGCGGCCAAGAGGGGGGCGTCCAAGAAGGGGCGGTGCAAATCTTGGCCGGCGGCGCGTGCGCGGCCCGAGGGGGGGCCAGGGACGTAACGACATAAGAAGAGGCGCCGTGAGATCCGGGGAAACATCTTTGCCCACGCCGTGGGATTCACCCCCCCTGGTCATCGCCCCCCGCTTTGCCCTCCCCTGATCCTCGGAGGGGATCATGGACACCGCCTCGTGGAGCTCGGGGTCGAACTCCTCGCCCACCGACACGAGCTTCTCAACGCCCACCTCCTTCCAGGACTTGAAGATCTTCTCGAAGAGCCCCGCGAATCGGTCCGCGATCGCCCGCTCCCCGTCGCCCTCGATTTTCAGGTTCTGCACGGCCAGGTCGTACTCATCGGCGATGGGCAGCAGCTCCTTAATGATGGGCAGGACTGCTTTGCCGCGCTCGGCGTTCAGCTCCGCCGCGGTGCGGGACCGGAAGTTGGACATCTCGAGCTTCATGCGCTGCAAGGAGCTCTTCTTATCCTCGACGATGGTCTTAAACTCGTCCACCTCCGCCTGGAGCTGCTCGATCGCAATCTTCTGAGCCTCCGTGAGCTCCTCCTCCTTTGCCTCCTCCTTCTTCTCGCCCCCGCCGAAGAATCGGCGCAGCGGTCGCCGCCTCGCCTGCAGCAGGAAGGGAGAGCGTAGGCGAGGATCAGGAGAGGAGGAGGAGGAGGAGGAGGAAGAAAAGAAGAGGAGGAGGAGGAGAAGGAAAAGGTGGAGGAGGAGGAGGAGGAGGAGGAGGAGGAGGAGGAGGAGGAGAGGTATGAGGAAGAGGAGGAGGAGGAGGCGGGCTGCGAGGGCTCCAGCGTCGCTACGCACAGACAAACCCGAAGCTCGAAGGCTCGAAGGAGGACGAGGACGAGGACGAGGATGAGAAGGAGAGGAATACGAGTAGGAGGAGGAGGAGGAGGAGGAGGAGGAGGACGACGACGACGACGACGACGACGACGAGGAGGGGGAGGAGAACAAGTGGCGGAAGGCAGAAAGCATGCGCGAAGGCACGGGGGCGCGCAGGCGAGCAGCCACCGACACGCCGTGCAGGAGGCGGCGGAGAGGGCCGCGGAGGAGCGGCAGGAGAGGCAGCACGAGGAGGAGCCCGCGGCACCGGGGGATCGCAGAGGAAGCGATACTAGAGTTAAGTCGGGCGTGTCTCCCTACAGGGATTTTCGACGAGCAACGAGTGGCACGCGTGCCCTGGCTCTTGCACAAAGGAGCTGCGAAGGACTGGAGACTCCCAAGGGGGGGGGGGGCCGAGGGGAGCTGGGGCTCAGGCTCAGGAGAGGGGCCGAGGGGGACGAACCACCACGAACCACGACGAAAATAAAGGGTTCCGCGGCCCAGGGGGGCTGCCCTGGGAAGCCTGGACGGAGGAAGGCTCCCAAGGGTGGGTGGCTCAGGGGAGCCGGGGCTCAGGCTCAGGGGAGGGGCCGAGGGGGCGGACCACCGCGAGCCACGACGAAAATAAAGGGTTCCGCGGCCCAGGGGGGCTGCCCTGGGAAGCCTGGACGGAGGAAGGCTCCCAAGGGGGTGGCCCAGGGGAGCTGGGGCTCAGGCTCAGGGGAGGGGCCGAGGGGGACGAACACGACCCACGAACCACTACGAAAATAAGGATGTCCGCGGCCCAAGGGGGGCTTCCTGTGAATCCTGGACGAGCAAGCCACCGAAGTGGGATCAGTGATCTGGGCCTCAGGCCAAGTGAAGGGCTAAGGAACGAACCACCACTGTAACCACAATCCCCCACTACGATAATAAGATTCGACTTCTAGAGCACACTGTGCAAAAAAGAAAAGGTTCCGCGTCCCAGGGGGCTAGCACCAGAAGTCCTGGGACGGAGGTGGGGGTCCCAAAACGAATAATAAAGGGTTTCCGCGCCCAGGGGGGCTGCCCTGGTAAGACTGTACGGAGGGTGTCCCACGGGGTGGGTGGCCGCAGGAAGCGGGGGGCCTCAGGCTCCGGGGGGGGGGTGGGGGGGGGGGGGGGCCGAGGGGGACGAACCACCGCGAGCCACGACGAACATTCGCCGGCCCAACGGGCCAGAGGCGTGCTAAGATCTCCGGTAACTACTTAACAATATGTCTAGTTCGCGCGCGCGGGGCGGCCCCTGTCCCGGACGATCCCCGGCCGGGTCCCGGCCGGGTCCCGGGCGACCCCCAGGGGGGAGGCTTTTTTTCGCCACCCCTCACGAGGATCGTAGCCTCCGAGGGGGTGGCTGCAATCGACTACCCCCCCTCCCGCCCCAAGGGGCCCCCAAGAGCCCCCTAAGAGGCCCCAGGGGAGCCCAAGACGCCGCCAAGGAGCCCCAAGACGCTCCCAAGAAGCCCCCAAGAGGCCCCCAAGACGGCCCCAAGAGGCCCCAAATAGCGTTCCAGGGCAGGCGGAATGAGCGAAGCGATTAAATAAAGGGTTCCGCGGCCCAGGGGGGCTGCCCTGGGAAGCCTGGACGGAGGGGGGGGTCCCAAGCAAGGGGGGGTGGCCCAGGGGAGCTGGGGCTCAGGCTCGGGGGGGGTGGGGCGAGGGGGACGAACCACCACGAGCCACGACGAAACCTTCCGCGGTCCAGGAGGGCTGCACTGGGAAGCCTGGACGGAGGAAGGCTCAAGCCTGGACGGAGGAAGGCTCCCAAGGGGGGGGGTCCAGGGAAGCTGGGACTCAGGCTCAGGGGGGGGTCGAGGGTGACGAACCACCACGAACCACGACGAAAATAAAGGGTTCCGCGGCCCAGGGGGGCTGCCCTGGGAAGCCTGGACGGAGGAAGGCTCCCAAGGGGGGCCAGAAACCTGGGGCTCAGGCTCAGGAGGGAGGCCGAAGGGGACGAACCACCACGAGCCACAACGAAAATAAAGGGATCCGCGGCCCAGGGGGGCTGCCCTGGGAAGCCTGGACGGAGGGGGCTGGGACTCCAACACCACGAACCAGCGTAACCAGAACACCAGTTCTACACACCACATCGTGGACTCCACACAACATCGTGCACCATACCCGGAACACTACATCGTTCACACTGCATGGGACTACACACAACACCGTCAATTGAACACCGCGCACCAGTCCTGGGACTCCATACTGCATCGTGCCGATACACCACTTCTGGAACGTCAACCACTGAAAACACTGAAAGAGTTGCACGGACTAAAGAAGAATGCGCGCGGCGCTAAAGTGAGAATCGCATGTTGAAAAGGTGCCGCCCTCCATCCGTGAGGCTCCTGCGAAATTTGAAACAAATGCGCGCGGCGCTGAGGCGAAGGCCACACATTGAACACCGCCCGCCCGCCATCCGCGAAGCCCTTGCAAACTTTCTAAGACGGCCGCGCGCGGAGCTGCGGCGAAAATCAGATTTGGAAAACGACCCGCCCTCCCTCCGTGAAATCCGCGCAAAATGGTCAGCCCAAGAATCATAAATTGTGAACGGTTCTCACGCGAAACGCCCGGCCCGCCCTACCGACACTTCCCGGGGCGCGGCTGGGAGGAATTATTTATCAGGGAAGAGGATGGAGGAGGAGGAGGAGGAGGAGGAGGAGGAGGAGGAGGAGGCGGACGAGGAAGAGGAGGAGAAGGAGGTGGAGGAGGAAGGAGGCGGAAAAGGAGGAGGAGGAGGGAGAAGGGAGGAGGAAGTAAGGGGAGAGGAGGAAGGGGGGAGAGGAGGAGGAGGAGGAGGAGAAGGAGGAGGAGGAGGAGGAAGAGGAGTGAGTGAGTGAGCAGTACCCACGTCGTGGGATCCGACGGGCGGCGGCGGCCGCCACCCGCGCAGCCCCTCCTCAGTCGAAGTAGAGCTGGGGCTGCCTCTGGAGCACCGCGAGGGCCGCGGCGCAGGCAGCGTGGCGCACGAACTCGCCGTGCCAGAAAAGGAACTTCTCGAAGTTCACGAAATTGACCAGCATGCAGTACTGGCCGTCAGACGGACTCACCAGTACACCAATTACGTGTCAATGCCTCTGCTTTGCCGCCAGCACTAACTGGTCTGGCCTTCTCCTCAGGCATGCTCGCGAACGAACTTCGCCCAAGGATAGTATTGCGCTCATATTCCCGACGGTGCCGCTCCAGCTCCTTCTGCTTGATACGCTCGTGCCGGGCCGCCATGCGCACCTCGAACAGGTAGGGGCCCTCGGGATCAGCACGCTTGATCGACGTGGTGACCGTGACTGGCTTTGCGACCTCGCACGCTATCCTCTTGAGCTGGACAGTGGCATCGATGAGCTTGGCAAGCGTCCTATGAGGGCCCAATCCTTGCCGCAAGTTGTGGAGGACCTCAGCCCCTTTCGTTGTCGGTGCCACACCTGCCGAGCGCAACTTGAGCTTCCTCCGCTGCTGTGCCCAGGCTCCGCATCCAACACAAACAAAGACTGCGCCGCCGCTGACCGAGGTGAGGTCCCCCTTCTGGTTAACAGCAATCAGCTTGTGGCCAAGCGGCTCCTTGAGGAAATCCACCAAGAAGGACGGCGTGCCTCGGCAACCTGTGAACTCATCGTGCTCATCTTGTCGCCTGGGCTGGAGGCATTGGGAACATTGCTGCCCCATAACCGTATGAATTCACTGATGCCACCCTTGCGTGCGAGTCCTGCGTACCTTCTTGAAACCTGTGGTCGCCCTCTTCCAGCGCTCCTCATCCTTGGGATACAGCGGCAGGATGTGCGCTAAGAGCTTGGTGAGGTCATACACGCGCTTCTGACTCTCGGTCATCGCCCCCTGGAAAATTGGGTCGACCTGGGGATGCATCTCTGCTCCAGCGCGTGCAAACCTGTCGACCACAACGTTCGCATCGGTAAGCCTGCGAATCTCAGGGGTGAGCTGCGCATACTCTTCGCCCGAGCGATGAACCTTCACGCGCGCCACTCTCTCGATGTACTTGCACCCGTCCATGTCCTGAGCGAAGGCCATGACCCCGCCGTAGATAGAATCGACTGCAACCTGCTTCTCTGCTGGCGCCAACGCTGCTTTGACTGCGCCCACGAAATCCGCATGAACCCAACAGCGACGATCAGCAACTTGGCCAGCGAATGCAAGCGCAAGGCACTCCGCCATAGCCGACGTCTGTGGCAACGTAGCGGGGCCAGGCGCGCACATTGAGCACAATGGCAAATCTGAATCAGGATCGAGCAACGTAACTGCCCAGCCAGCCCTCTGCAGCGTTGCCAAGGCCGGCTTGGAGCACGAGCCGTCGATCGCAAACTCGGCCAGCTCGACCTCCGCCTCCAGGTAGTGTGCCACCATCGTTTCAGGGGTGGCGAGTGAGTTATTGCCCTGGGCATCCACTACACAAGCCTCCAATCCAGCATTCAACGGGGGAATGTCCTGATCTTGAAACGCGAAGCAGCCACTCAGATGTTACCGTTCATCGGGATGGTCGCGTATCCACTGTACAAACTCGGGTCCGACATCAGCGTCTTGTCGAGCTTCAGCAATATGTGGTAGAGGGCAATCTGCTAGCCTGCGCGCGAGTGTCTCCATGGCCCCGCACTCGCACCTCCCATCCGCGATGTAACCTTCAGCTCTGGCTCGAGCCTTAGTCCAGACACCTGCGACAGCACACGTGTTGATACAGAACTTCTGATGAGCATTGTACTTCCGACTCTTGGGCCTCGCCTGCATACGAAGAAAATCGAAAGAAACTCGCATATTATCCTGAACAAACCATTTCGGCCCAAGACGTAGTTCATGTTGGCGAACCAGCCCAGCTTCCAAAAGCTTCAGCCGCATCGGGGGAGTGAGTTGATCAATGCGAACCTGCTCACCGACATGGTTTGTCCACTCTGCCCCCGTGACTGGATGCCAACCTGCACGCTGAATGGACAAGGCCGCTCGTTGAAGGGGGCCCCTCGTCATCGACCATTTGGGTAGCACTCCTGCATCCTGGACTGCCGCTTTCCAATAGCTGAGTAGAGTCACCGTAGATACGACTGAAACGCGGGGCTGGACCTTGGATGCCCATAGCATACGGCACCATTGAAAAGCAGGGGAATGCTTCTTTTAGTGCAGGGTCCCCCATCAGTACC